CGGGGGCCCCCGGGTGGAGGGTGGGCGCTGCCGCCGGCCGGCCCTCACGGCCGCGCCCCCAGTCCCCCCCAGACATGGCCTTCCCAGCCTCGCTGGCCACGCAGCACTTCCTGCTGGAGGAGGAGAAGCGGGCGCGGGAGCTGGAGAAGCTGCTCAACACGCACATCGACGCGCTGCAGAGGCACACGGACCGCACGCTGTGCCGGCACGCGCGGGCCCCGCAGCACAGGCCGGCCTGAGCGAGCGCCCAGGCCCCCCCCAGTGGCTGGGGGAGAGGCCCCGCAGCACAGGCCGGCCCCGGGGGCTCTGGGAAGCCACTCACCTCAGCCATCTCGATTTTCCCGTCTGAGTTCTTATCATACTTCTGCATGAACTCCTTCATCTTTTCCCCGAAGTTGTCACTCTTTGATATCTGCGGGAAGACAAGTGGGCCAAGAAGCCTGCGGGGGCCCTGGGACAGCAGGGTGGGGGGCATTTTGTGCCCCCAATACGGAACCATTTTGTGCCGGCATGGAACAAGGTGGCTCCAGGTGAGGTCAGGGCTGCACCTTTTCCTTTTCAAGACTGGGAACAGGACATGCTGCAAGAGCTGGCCCGTGTAATTAAGTATGCCTGCCTCCCACCCCTGCCCCCCACTCCAGGCGGATTAAACCGCAGCTCACTCTTAATGCGATGACTGTTCCTACCTCCTAGAGGTCCGGCCTGAGGGAGCATGTAATAAACCCAGCCTAATCCAGTGACCTTCCGTGGGCCCTCAGCACCCCACCAATGCGAGGTAAGTGACCTGTCTCCTTGAAAGACTAGCCATTTCACCATATTTCTCACTGTACCAGAAAAATGTGAGGAGAAAGCCTTCGGTGGCAGAGGGGTTCGTAAGTAGTCTGGTAGGTTGTCCCGCCGGCCAGGAAGGCTGGGCATGCGGGCAGTTCCTTCAGCCTGTCGTCTCCCAGTGAAGGTCGAGGTGTCGCTCACTGTTTGCACTAGGTAACCCAGGCCTCCTCCCTGCCCTCCTGGGTGACTGCTGAGCGGGCGTGTGCTTCCAGAGTTGGGCCAAGAGAGTCCCCCCCAACTCGCAGCATCTTTTCTGGATACCTTCTATTGCTTCTTGTTTGGAAGGGGCCTGTGCGTGCCAAGGTGCATTCGTTTATTAATAACTCTTGCTTTACACTTACAAATGGAATGACCCTAGGCCCTTATTCCAGGTGGGCTTGTCCACTTTACAGACAAATGGAGGCCAACATGGGGTGATGTCATCCAAGGCCCTGGGGGAGGGGCCGGAATGGGAAGTGGGGCTCCAGTGTCCGTGGTCGGTGTTCCTCCTGCCCCGACAGCTGCTCTGACAGCCCGTCCTTTAGGTTCCAGCTGAGATTGTGCTGGCAGGCGCCCGGGGAGGGAGGGAATGACTCAGCGAAGGATTTCAGAGTTGAAGCACTTTCACCAAAACAAGTTCCCCTGCCTCCCTCGAGACCAACATCAGGTTTGAAGCCCGGGCTGGCTGAGATCCAGGCTCTAGGATCCCAGTCTTGAGGGTGGCAGGGAATGGTGATGAGCAAACACGCGAGTCACCTCTGCGGCCTAAGACCATTTCACCTGGGCACCTCTCAGGCAGCTCACCTGAGGGGGTTGTGACCCATCTTGTGTACCTTCTTCAAGGACTTGCTAATGAGCGGTGGGTTGGGGTCTAGAGGGCCCTGGACCCCTAGGACCTGCAAGGGGAGCTAGGGAGGGAGCGGGTCCGACCCCGTTTCAGAACCCTGCCCAGGAATCACAACAGACTGGGTCCAGACACCTCACCACGACAGCCCCCCTCAAAAGCCTCTAGTGAATTCACCAGTGCAGGCTGGTGCTGGGGGAGCAGGGTCCTTGCTGCTGAGGGCCTGGGACGGATCTGGAGCCCCCTCAGGCAGGTGAGGAAGGGCCGCGGACACCTGCACACACAGGGCCAGCAGTGCTGTCAGGCACGGATATTGGTTTGGAGTAATTCTGTTTCCCTCTAAGTCCCTGCTGAGGAGTCTGGTCTTTGTGGGTCTAGAACTATGGTTCTCTGGAGGGGACGGTCCTGCACTGCCACGATCTTAAGGCGACATCTGGCAAAATCTGGAGCATTTCTGATGATCACAACTTGGGGGGTTGCTGCTGGCATCTTGTGATAGACAGCTAGGGATGCTGCAGATCATCAATGATGCACAGGACAGCCCCATGACAAAAAGGGTCAGGTCCCAAATGTCACTGGTACACTGAGAAGCCCGGGTATACAAGAGGGCCCTGGGGACACCCCACACACCTGACCTTGAGTCGTGACCCCTCTGAACACATTTCTACACATTTGGACACAAACCCAGAGCTTTGCAGTTTTAGGGGCATTCATCAATGCCTTTTGCTCATTTACAAACATCCCTAAACCCCAGATAACCTTAGGATAGATATAAAGGTCAGGTTCTCTAGGTAGGGGGTATTCCATTAAAAAATATTCCTGCAAATGAGAGAAAAATGACATGCCAAGCTCAGGGGCGTCGGCCAGCTGATGACATGACTTGGGACACAGACGACACGCGTAGCCACAGTCAGAAAATTGCACACCCTGGGGCTTACCATGCCAGAGCCTTTCCTCGCCTTCTCCAGCTCTTGGAAAAAGTTTTCTAGCTCTTTGCCTTCAATATACCCATTTCCTGTAAGAGCAAAGAACAAAGCAGTTCATCTGGGAGCTAAGTAGTGAGGCTGACAGGTCAGAGGGGGCTGGGGAGGTCGAGAAGGGCTTCTTCCTGATCAACAAGCCAGTGCCAGGCCCCGCCAAGGATTGCACCCAGGGGGTGGGCACCCACACATGTAAGATACGTAGGAGCACCCAGTGCCTGAGCCTAGCCCGAGAGGTGAGCAGGGTGGCCGCTGCCAGGCGCTGGAAACCCAGCATTGTGGAGGTTTGTCGGCAACCAGGATGGATGAGGTGGGAGGCAGAACTCTGGGAGGGGGAGGTGAACTGAGTTGAAGGAGTCAACCCCCACAATTTTCAACCATCTAGAGTCTCAGAATGTGACCTTATTTGGAAATATGGTGTTTGCAGTTAAGTAGATTAGGGAGTCCCCAACTCCAGTCTCTGGTGTTGGGGAAGCTCTGGGAGGACCGCCGGGGCCTGGAGGAACCAAGCTTCAAGTCGAATGGTAGTGGGGTGACTAGCACCCTCAGAACAACCCTGCACCTCAAGCCTCCAGAAGGAAGCCACCCCGTGTCGCCTTGAGTTTGGACTTCCAGAAGTGCGAGCCAGTGAATTTCTGTTGTCCCACGCCACCCAGTTGGGGTGCTTTGTTACAGAAACTAATCCAGAGGGAACAGCAAAAGAGAAAGGCTGGGGCATCTGTCCAGGGGTGAGTCTCTGAGAGTCGAGAGTTGAGAGTCGGCCTCAGGAGGCGCCCACCACCCTTTCCCGGGAGAGAGGCCCAGAGGCTGTGGCTGCAGCCCCACCCTGGTTTTGGGGAGGAGGCCCCGTCACTCCTGCACAGTGCAGTCTTACAGTAACCTTACAGTGACTAAATGTCACAGCTAAGTGGGTCTCGTGTACGTCACTGTTGTTTGACTGCGTGACCAGGCCTGTGTATGAGAGGGGAAGGAGCCTGGCTGAAGAGCACCATTACGGGGACCACGGACCAAGATCAAGGTCTGACCGTGAGATTACAGAAGTAATGAGACGTCCTGTAGGCTCTCACGCCTGGAGCCCAGGTGACCTAGAAGCAGGGTGAGCTTGACCACACTGCAGGGAAATTGGACAAGTCTCCGGCAGTGTGACCCAGGCTGCTGTCCCTGGGCTGCATCCCCTGAGGGCTGCAGGGAACCCAGGTGTCTGTCTGGCTCCCGTCCTCCAGTGCTCTGATGTAACTGGTTTCAGGTGTGAACTAAGCATCTCTTTTTAAAGCTCCCCAGGTGATGTCCTTGTGTAGTAAGGTCTGGAAACCACTGGCCCAACGTCAGGTTCCAAATCTGACCTAAAGCAGCTCAACAAGGTTCCCACAGAGAATATACAACCTGAATGGGAAAGAGAGGGGCAGGTGGTTGTCTGCTTTAGGTGAAGGGAATTGCAAACTGCACAAAGAAAATAAGGACCGAGTATTTCCTCTGGCCTTCCTTGGGGTGGGTGTGGGAGTCAGGAATTTAGATTCTGATTTAACCTCAGAGGCGCCCTCTAGTGGAGAAGTCACACAATAGTAGAGAATCGCAAGGGATAAAGGATGTTTTTTTTTTTTTTTTAAAGGATGTATTTTTTTGTCTGCTGAGAAAAGATTTTGATTGTTATTGAGGTTGGAGAAATGAAACTAGAATTACCTTTTCCCCTCCCTTAGTCTTGAGTGGTCATTTTCTTCTCGAATGACCTGCAAAACTTTTTGGAATACGCTTGGGAAAAGCTTCCTGGAATTTCAAGAGTGAGAGCCTAAGGCCTGGGAGACCAACTGCAGTTGGGGTGGGGGTGGGGTTCCTAGGCAAAGGGACGTCTAGCGGATGATGCCTCTGAGTAGGAGGAAAGAGTAATTTTCTTCTCCATGGTCACTTCTGGAATGATCTGGCCATCACCCCACTTCTTAGGAAGCTGAACTCAGCTCTGGGCCCAGGTGTAGCCTGCAGAAGCCGGAGGCTGGGATGCAGGTGGGGCTTCACACCTCACACACACATTGGGCTCCCGTGAAGCAGAGGCCTCAGAGCCAGCGGGTGGATGTGAAAGTGAGTGTGTCTGTTTTAGGAATTAGGAAGTGGCTGAAGTGAACTTGGGGGCCAGCCTGGCAGTGCAGGGGGGTCTCGTTCCCAGAGGAGCCACTGCTTGACTCTGAAGAGCCCCTCCTGCCATCCCAGCGATTCTGCATTTGTTCTCCAGCTCTTTTACTGGCTATTTGGGGTTTTGCAGAGTGACAGGCCTTTTTGAGTGAGGGATGGAGCAAGGGGCAGAGGACCAATAGGAAATTAATCCAAACAGGAAATTTCCAGATAGTGTCAAGTGCAATGAAGGAATGATGATGTTAACAGGGATCGGCTGCCAGGGTGGCTTGGGTGGGGTGGGCAGGGACAGCCACCCCGAGAAGCCCAGCTGCCTACAGAGGTTGGAGAAAGAAGTGTAACGTTAGGCAGGGTGAAGGGGTCCAGGAGCTGGGATGAAGGCACTGAATGAGCTGAGTGGGCAGCAGGATGTGCCCAGAGGCCGGACGAGCTGCTCTGGTCAGGCCAGGGATTCCACCACCACTATCTATACCCCCAACATAGGCACAAAGGTGGCTCAGTTTGACCAATCTTTGTTCTTCTGAACTGACAAAAACTTGAACTTTGCGCCTGGAATTGGGGAGCCAGAGGCTGGCATCCCAAGCATTTGACAATCTTTGGGAATGAGGCAGCCAGACGAGAATCACTAGGTCCTTCCAGTAGAAGACGGTGAGGAGCAGAGATGAGAGAGCAGGCAGGGGCTTTGGGGCCACAGGGGGCACCCCCATCACTGAGGGAAAGACCTCGCTGCTTTGCCTCCCTCAGATCACCCCCGACCCATCACCCATAATCTGGGGATGGGGTTGAAGACAGGTTGGCCTACATCCTACTGCAAAGACCTTCTGCACTGGACGAGTGATTTGCATTTTAGCGCCTGCTAATGGGGGGTGGGGGTGAAAGGTTGCCAAGCTCCGTTCCTGTGCATGGGCATCCAGAGAGACGCAGTTACTATGGCAACCACGACCCCTACTCCCCCCCCCCCATATCAAACCACATCAGGAGACCATTCAGGACAGGGAGTTAGGTGGGGGTTGGGGACGCTGCACCATCATCTCTTGCTTTCCCCTCACTTAAAGTCACGTACTCTTTTTTAAAAATTCATCTGACCACAGATGCTGGGGAAGCCTTGATGGAGGGGTGCGCCGCCCCACAGGGGAAAGAAGCTCACCTGTGTCTCCCTGAGACCTGAGTATGCAGATTTCCTACGAGTTGAGCAGCTAAGAGGCACCCGAGTGAGAGAAGTCCACCACCGGACACATGGCTGCCCAGGGATGGTGAGCAAAGCTACCTCTCCTCCGTTTCTTGATCCTCAAAATGGGTCAAACTATTTATGTGCCCTTTCTTCTTTAGAGGACTGTTGTGAGATCCACACAGGAAATGTGGTGCAAACATGCTGGAAAATGTAAAATCGCACATAAATGCAAAGCATCCTTTTTATAGTCTGTCCTCCTAGGCTCCTCTTGGGCTCAAAGCATCCCCTAGGGGGCGCTCTCTGGGCAGTGGCGGCTCAGTCCAGGCGGTGTACTAGGATGGCTTGGGAAGCTTTTCCAACAATAGCACTGCTGGGCCCACCCCAGGCTTCCAGTTGAACTGCTGGGGTGGGGAGGGACCTCTCTCAGAGTGTTCCCAAAGCTCTACAGGTGATTGTAAAGTGCAGTTAGTGGCACCTTTAAGAACTGTTTCACAGCAGCTGGTGCCAGATTTTAAGGTGCTTGTGAATTACCTGGGGGGAACTTTTAAAAATGAAGAGTCTGGGCCCTCCCCAGGATGCAGCACTGCAAGCTGGCCACAGCTGCTTCAGTCCAAGTTCGATCCCCAGCCCTAGAGGTGACCCACATGGCAGACCTCTCCTGACCCGCCCGCTGCTCCCCTCAGCAGTGGATTTCAGTAGATCCATCTGTCCTGCTCCCCACTCTGTTTCTGCTGATTCCTCTCGCCCTTGCACCTCTGGCTTAGACTCCAGCTCTTGCATGTGTAAATAAATAAAAAAATAAAAAATAAAATCTTAAAAAGAAAAAGAAAAGCCAGAAGTAGCTCAAAGACACTTACTTGAATGTAGCCAGGTTACTGCCTGTGGCAACAGACAATGGTGGTTGGGAGGATGCTGGCTGAGCTTGGAAATGGGGATGGCAGCCCCGGGCCTGGTATTGCCCAGTGACCATGGGCCCATGGAGCAGAGGGCCTAGACCAGCGCGACTCAGAGAGGGGGACCCATGCAGGCCATAGCAGTGCCTGTGACCCTGTCAGAAATACAAGTTCTTGGGATCCACCTTGGACTACCTGAATCAACTTTGGGCCCAGAAATCTGTGTTTTAAGGCATTCTGCACACTCAGGTTCGAGAATGGGAGTAGTCGGTGCTCACTGTGCTGTTTTCTCTGGGGTATGAGGTGTAGAGAAAATAAACTGCCTCGCAGTTTCACATGGCGTTCCTGGGGCTGGGCCACTTGGCTATGGTCCAGAGTCCCAACTTACATAAAAGCAAATAGCCCAGTACCCTCAGACGCCCAGGCACTGTCAGGTACCACTCTCTGGGCCAAAAAAGGGGCTCCTCCATGTGCTGCCCTGCCAGTAACGTCTACTTTGTGTGTGCACCCCATTTGTAAAGCACTCACAGTTCCCACCTGCCCATCTGGTCGGTAGGTCTCTGCCAGGGAAGCAGACTGGCATTATGGACCTGTCTCAGAGGAGGAATTTGAGGGGGGAAGAGTTAGTGGCATAGCGCCCCACCCTTGGGTTCCCCTGCTTTCCTGCCACTTCTGGCTGGGCCGACCTCCATCCATGTCTGACTCGTTTTCTGCTCAGGGAATCATAACGATGTGCACAGGCACACACTGTCCTCGCAGCGGCTCCTGGGGCAGGAGAATAGCAACACCCATGCGAACAGCTACTAGTTGAATGTTCCAACACTCGCTCTTTAATCTGCTTTACTGG